TACTCGTCTAAAAGCGCTTACATCGTCTACTATCGTTTCGTCCTCGTCTCTTCGTTCCACTCTTTTTCTCTCGTTTATCATACAAATCGAATGAATGAATGAATGAATGAATCGATGAATAGATGGATGAGTGGTAGGGGCAAATTCTTTTAGCTCAATTTTATTTTTTTTTTTTTTTCAGAAAAAAATACCGAAAGTTTCCCCATTTCATTGGTTATTTTTGTTTTGTTTAAATCAATTAGATAGGTGTATACTTTTACGAGACTCTTCTCGAGAATTTTCTGTTTTTTATTTTTGTTTTTTTTTTTTTTTTCATTTTGTTAAAACTGCAACTGAGATTTACCTTAGTTATAAAACCAAACGTGTTATATATATATTTACACCAAACGTGTAAATATAATTTTTCGTATTATATTAATTTTTTCTGTTTTACAAGTTTATAATTTTCTTTTACAATTTTTATTTTTTCTTTTTTACTTTTATTATATTGAATATATAAGTGAGCCAAATATGTTTCCTTTAATTTATATAATAAGAGTTATTTAATAATTATAATCTAACGGGTAAACGCGTATAAATTGGAAATACGCTTATCTAATTTATCGAGAGGATTTGAACGGACAGTTGGACCAGAACAGATCGTGTGTTTTCGATGGATAAACGCATAACGAAAATGGCAGGTGGCATGGGAAAAAGGCAAATTCGTCCACCGGCTACACTTTTATCCACCACTGAACGTTTTAAAATCCTATCGTCGGTTTGTATGCCGTTCGACGAATCGTTCGGGACCAAAATCGAAGCGGATTTTGATTACTGCTGCTGCTGCTGCTGCTCTAGGGTTAAAAGCTTATATTTTTGTGAAATGACCGTGATTAATTTCCTTACCGATTCGAGAACACAGACTTTACGTAACAGGAATACCACATATTAAAGTTTTTCTATCTCTCCTTCCTTTCTGTCTTTTTCTTTTCTCTCTTTCTCTCTCTCTTTCATTATACTTTTAGTTTTTTTCTGTCAGTTTTTTCTGTCATACGTCTGATACAAAATCTCATGGTTTTGTTTTTTCCACTTCATATTCAATCAACAAATCTTCCAATTCTTTTCGATATTTTTTATATCACGTCTCATACAGGATTAATTTGTCAGTTGATTTACGTTTAAACCGGATGGGTCGTATATGACCCATGTACAAATGGAGAATATTTCAAATGGAAAAGATTCCATTCATGACCAAAATGGAAAAAGGTTCGCACTTTCATTACTTTTTATTTGTTTGATCAGTATTTTTATAAATACTCAAATAAAATTAAATATTTATAAAATAAAATATTTATAATAAATGGCAAATATAATATATATATATATATTTTTTTTTTTATTATAAATACTAATCATTCATTTGAAAATACCAATAAAATAGATGTTGATGAAAAATTTTGACCCGACAGATAGGAACCATTTTCAATGGGATCTGATTCTCAAAAGAATCCCTTCGTTTTCCTATGGCAGGTACGACGCGAGAACAATTTTTGATTTATTTTATTTTCCAGCGCGTTATGCTCGCGAGAATATATATATATTCGACTACTATACTTCATACGTTCACGTCGAAACGAGACTAGGTAGGATGTTCGGGGAATTTTTCCGATGTTCGTATCCTAGATTCCTCTTTTCTTGTTTTTTTTTTTTCTTTTTTTTCTTTTTCTTCTATTATCAGCCAGGATAAATCGATTTTATTTTTTCTTTTCTGTTTCAGGTGAGTAACGTCACGCTTCGTTTTACATAGATACGCCGAAAAAGTGAGACGCAAATGCACTCTGTGTGCATCTTCTATTATCACCTAATGCTTTCGAGAAAGCCCTCGATAACGAACCTATGTACGTACGTATGTATTTATATATATATATTTTTTTTATATATATATATATATGTGTGTTTTTATGCATATATTTTATATAGATGAATAAAACGAATTTTAATATAACTTTATTTTCGAAGTGAACATCTTACGTTAGTTCGATCGAATTTTTAAACAAAAATGATAGTGACACTTTAAATAATACACTGCGCATATATATGCAAGTTCAAATTTTTTATATTTATTTAGGATCTACATTTTTTTTTACTGTAGGATCTATTTCTACCGCGTTTCCATTGAAACGTTCGAATGTTATAATATATATGTAACATTCTACCATCATCATGGAAGAATACTTCAAACATTTTACATCGATTGTATAAGATTTAAAAAGATTCTGTTCTTTATTTTATTGTCACAGGATGATATAGTAATATACGTGATTATAGAATTTGATAAAGTACCTATATAAAGCAATTTTCTCGTATTTTAATTGAAAGAACATCTTTCCTTACAATGTAATAATGCAAAAAAAGAAAAAAAAAAGAAAAAAAAAAGAAAAAAATCTTCAAGTAATCCAATACTCGTAAGTAAAAAATGTTGGTACGCATAACTCGTAAGCTTGGGCTGAGTCGAAGTAAAATTTAAAAAGTAAAAAGGAGAAAAAGGACTCAAGCACTGCGACGAGTTGCATAACGAGATGCTTCCCTTCGTTCTTTTCTTTTTCGTTCGTTCCTTTCCTCCCAAAGCTGCCGCCGCTCGTCCCTCGCCCCTCGCCCTTGCGTGCATTATTTTTCGTTGTCCTCGTCGTTCTTGAATAGACGCGATAAGCTCGAAACGATGCGAAAGCTCATCTCAACGTTTTCCTTCGTCTTTCTACGATGCCAGGAGAAAAATAAGCCTGTCAAGAAATATCGCGCGATGCGAAAAAATTTTCGCTCGGATTTCCTACTGACAGGAAAAATAGCTTTTTCACCGGTAGTATACACGATAGTAGTAGTAGTAGTAGTAGTAGTAGTCGTAGCAATGATTTTAGTTATGGTGGTGATGGGTAGTGTTACGACGCGTATTGCATACGTGTATCGCGAAAGAAGACAAGTATAGCATTGAAAGGGAAACAGTTTGGTCTATGATATTCTTCGATTTTTCAGTAAAAATCCAATCTTTTCGAACGGCATGAATCCTTTCCTACGTATCGTGATATTACATACATATGTACATATGTTCGAGATGTCTCAAACATAGAATCCTCCTTTCCCCGTTGATTCGGATATAGGTGTGTTATGTTGGCTAATAAAAAAAAAAACAAGGATTAATTAAATTATATCAAAAACGCGATTGAGCCAATAGTATTATAAGATTTTATTTGTTCGTCAAGGGAAAAACTTTTAGACATAAAATCCCTTATATATTATATATATGTATGTAGAATATAAGATGAGAAATATGCACAGTATGAAACGTCACTCGTGCCAAACATTTGTTAGTCTGTTGTAATTATACCGAATTTAGTTGTCATGTGATTGTGATGAACTAATGATGAGGAAAATAATGAATTAAATTAAAATAAGAAATAAAACACGTGTGGTTGAGCCAATAAAAAGTATAATACTTTTTATTAGCTCGTCAAAGAAAAGCCATGCGGCATAAAAACCCTGGTTGTTAATTCGGATATAAAGTAATAAATAAAAATATCAATAAAAATATAAAATAAAAGACAAAATTGGATACGTGGCTCACTTTTCGTACGTTTGCCGTTCTCTCGTTAGATATAATAATAAATCTTATCTCTCGCTTATTTATTGAAATGTAAATAGTGTTTACGTTTCACTTACTTTACATCGCGCGAGGTTGGTGGCAATATAAAAAGATAGTAGTACTTTACTTCCTTTGTCTGTTCTTAATCGGTTCTTCGTTGATTCTTGATCGTCTTGTAAAATGTGTCGTCGTGACGTTCTGTGGAAGAATAGGATGAGTGTCTTTGTCAATAGGCTCAATAGAGCGTACGTAGTAGGGCTACGAATGTTGGGGAAGGGGTACTTCGAAACTCCCAATAGAACTAATTATAAGGCGCGAAATTCGAATACGTGTTATGAATTTACGATCGTTTCCGATTTTATAAATAATATATATAGTGATGGGGTGTTGTCCTTGTGTCGTAAGAATGGATGATTCGTTGTACCTTCTGAAAAATTTGTCTTCGAAAGATCGTTCGGCATGAGAATAGAACGAATACGCTTTCGGAAGTTCGGCCAAACTTCTTCACCAAAATAGCGCGGCCAAAACTGGTAGGTGGGTGCGAACGATTATATCGGTTTGGAAAATTTTCTAAGAAAATATGCGTGAATTTTGAATAGACATTAAAAAAAAATCCACAGTCATTTCCGATCGTTAGAATTGTATTACCTAACCTTAGCAAACATTAATTCAATGAGTCCACCGACATTAGCGATGTACAATAGAAAGAACGATTAAGCCAAAGATCGCTTGAACATACTTCGTTATTGTTATAATAACATTGCACTTCGTAATAAATAATGAATGGCAATGCAAATGTATGCAAAATTTTATTTATACGTATTTTTTTTAACTTGGTATTTTATCTTTAATTATACTTTGAATTATTCTAAAATTAATATTCTCATGACTAAGCAATGATGGATGGGACTTAGGCCTTTTTCAAGGTAACTGTGAAAAAAATAAAAAAGAAAAAAACAAAAGAAAATTTTATTTTTATTAATGATATTATAACAAAGGTTATCGCAAATAAATTATCATAATAATTTAGATTACAAATATTATAATATTGGTAAATTACTTTTTAGGATTTAGTCCAAACGCTTACGCGATATATTTCGAGAATTTTCCTAAGCGTATATTTAATCATTTCGAAATGAATTGCAAGAGTTATTCTTATTTATTTTTTGTTCATCAGTTGATTATTTGAAAAATGTTCTCATCATATTGTCGTTATATGAAATGTAATAGAGTCTATAAAACTTTTATGTCATCTCTTCTTTTATTAATGATCAGGAAACAACATAGACAAATATTCTAATATTTTTTAAACGAATATACACGAATTTTACAATGTGCTAAATTCCAAATATATTCCATTATATTTTTGTATATCATCGTGGTAGTCATGGTTTGTATTTATCATCTTAGATACCGTGTATATATTTGAATCTATAATTTCTTTTCTTTTTTCAAAATTATTTGATGCTTGAATATTTGGTAATCATTGTATTACATAATAAAATTTAAATCTTGACGTTCGGTAGTTGAACGGATGTTTAACGGTTATATTTAAATCCAATACTTTGTAATACGGATAAAATGTAAGCACTTGGGAACATTTGTTTACTAGTCATTATCATTTGGTAATGACATGTGTAGATTTAAAGGAAAAAAAGCTCATAAATATTCATAATGAATATAATTTGTAAATCATTTTATTGGTAGTTTTATACTTTTCCGTTTAGTTTAACTTTCAGTGTCGCGTTGAATGATACTTTCTTCGCGAATCTAATTAATTAGTTATTTTCTATTTAATAAAATTCGTCCGAGGTTGTATCGATCAAAATTTTTAATATCAATTTCATTATCGTGAAGTGTTATTATATTTTTTAGTTTTTGAGTGATCGTATTAAATTTTGTTAAAAATGAATTTCACGAAGCTATACAATAGTTTATCAGAAAATTTAGGTAAGATTGAAATCAATATCAATTATATTAATCTCCTTTTTTAATAAATTTTCGATGAATCGATAAAAACGTAATATTTAATTGAATTTTTCAGACCAACGAGTTAAATCATGGCCAATAGTTGATACATCTACAATACCAATCATCTTACTAATTTATGTCATATTTTTATATGTTGCTCCTAAGTATATGGAAAATAGACTGGCATACTCTTTGAAAACATTTATACAATGTTATAATTTATTTCAAATAATAGCTAACAGTATTGTAGTATATATGTTTCTCGATGCAGGCTGGTTACAAGATATATTTTTTTATTGTGTACCAATGTTATATAATACGGATCATAAATCTATGCAGGTATTATAATAATAGAAAACGTTTAAAAAGTTGTTTTATCGAGAAAAATTTAAATAAGACAAAAGATCAATTTTATTAATATTTGATTTTTCATTTCAAGATATGAATATCCAGTGAAAGTGTTATTAAAAAAAAAAAAGAAAAAATATGGTTTCATGATTTCAACAAACAAATGTATAATTGTGCAATTCGTCATAGCAACTTTTGAGATATCCAATATAATTTTCCCCTTTTCAAGATCATCTTTGTATTTGATCTGAAAATAATGGTGTTATAATATATTCGATGCGCGTTTGAGAGAAATTTTGGAAAAATTTCGTCAAAAAGCGCGGATTAACATATCTATAAATAAATTTGTATGTTTTAGATAGCCACTGCAATATGGTATACGCTATTATTGAAAGTCATTGATCTTATAGAAACGGGAGTTTTCGTATTGCGAAAAAAGAATCGTCAAATATCGGTTTTGCACATTTATCATCATATATCAACGGTACTTTTAACATGGAACGGTATGAGATTTTTCGCATCTGGAATGACTAGTGTTTTGGTAATTATAAATTGTAGCGTACACGTCATAATGTATGGATATTATTTTCTATCTTCGTTGGGTCCAAAAGTGCAAAAGTTGATTAATCCGTATAAATCAATACTTACTACTATCCAAATGGTAAGTTAGGAGTGTGTAACGATTTAGCGCACGAAAATTTATTTTTTTATATTTTATATATAAATATTTTCTTTTTAACATGAATATATATAATTGATTTAATTTTTTTTTGTAGGTACAACTAGTAATAATAATATTATACATATTCTCTATTATTATATCTAATTGTGACATACCAAAAATACAGGCTTATATTTATCTTTTAAATGTTCTCATCAATCTAGTATTGTTCTTAAATTTTTATCAAAAGAATTATGTAATTTCTAAAGGGAAAAATAAGTGAGTCTCATAAAATTGAATTTGAAAATAAATAATAATAATAATATGAAATATACATATAAAAATAATCATAATAATATAATAATTTTATTATTTGGTGGAATATTGTATTTAATTTATATGTAGTATATATGTACTCATATATACATATATAACTAAATCATGTAAAAGAAGTCAAATTTAATTAAAATTAAATAAAGAGGAAAGTGTATTTTCATTTTCGACACTTTCGAAAAAATACAAAATTATTTGAAGAAATGAAAATCTTTGATACTTTTTATCGTGACGAATTTTAAACGAAAAGTTATCTACCATTCCATCAAATACAATACATAGTTTAAAAGTTTCTCATTTTTGTGAAAACGCTTATGTATTCAACCTTTTTGACCCCTACGGATAAGCAAAATAATCAATGTGAGAATAAATCAAACTAAATAATCATATAGCTGACGTAAGAGACGTATTGTATGTAAACATAGAAACGACATTTCGCAACTCTCTTGTGGTGGGGTTTACAAACCCAATGTTTGTAAGTAGGAGAAGTGATTGTCTCTTTTACCTCAAGAAAAATACTTTAGTTTGTTATAATCTTTCTAATAGGCAATATTCTCCTTATAAAAATTTGATATTCCGAAACAACTTTTCTCAAAAGTTTATTTAATTACAATAAGTTTTGTTGCCTTATTTTAAAATGGATATATTAAACAGTGTTCATCGTATTTTATTCACAATTGACGGTAAGAAATAATATTTAATTTACTTATAAAAAAAAAAATTTAATTGTAAATTGTTAACCTTTTTCATCTTTTAACGAAGAATGTTTTTTTTTTTTTTCTAATTATTAAAACATAACAAATGCAATTTTAAAATAGAAAAGATTCTTATTAATAGTCATTTCATTTTCAGATCCACGCATACAAGATTGGATAGTATTTAATTCTCCGTATCTAGTAGGATTAGTTTTATTTGCATATATTTACTTCGTTTTTGTATGTGGTCCTAGGTTTATGAAAAACAGAAAGCCATATTCGTTGAAAGTGTTTATCAAATGTTACGATCTTTTTCAAGTTGTTCTTAATAGTTTAATTGTATATAAGTTGATAAAAGGCGGTTGGCTTACAAGAGTAGGGATGTATTGCGTTCCTATTACTTACGAATCATCTTCTGAAAATATGGAGGTATTATTTGAGATTTATTTCAACAAATTAAATAATAGAACAAATGATAATAACCATATTTCTTTGTATAGTTTTTATTAGCTGGTTGGTTGGCTATAATCTCAAAAATGGTAGATCTTTTGGAAACAGTAATATTTGTATTACGAAAGAAAGACAAACAGATTTCGTTTTTACATTTGTATCATCATATATCAACTTTGTTGATCGGGTGGATATTTGGAAAAAATAATATTAGTGGAATGGCTCTTTTTTTACCTCTAATTAATTGTTCTGTTCATGTAATTATGTACATTTACTATTTTTTTAGTTCGTTTGATGGAAACATTCGAACTACCATTAATAAATATAAACATTGGGTTACAATTATTCAAATGGTGAGTACTTAATTTTAAAATCAATTTAATTACAATGAAGTTTAAATAAAATAACATTGAGTATAATCATCAATTTGATTTTTTATTAACAGGTACAATTCGTAATATTGTTTGCTCATAACTCGCAAGGGTTATTGCCGAGCTGTAATGTACCTAAGATACCCACTTTCCTTGTAACGTTAAATAATGTCATAAATTTCTTTTTGTTTTACAATTTTTACAAGAGTGCCTATTTAAAGAAAAATATCAAGCAAAATTGATATTAAATATTAAACTTGTTAATAAACACACATTTATTTTAATTGTCTATTATGTACAATATAATGTATAATGCAATATGAAATATAATAAAATGTTATTTAATTGTTCTTCCCGCTTATACTGTCATTTTATATTTTTATATTATTTCATATAGATACAGTTATTATGTGAGAAAGTTACAAACCCGACTAATGTTTCGTTAACATTTACAAAATATCGACTCGTATATTATAAAAACGTTCCATCGAATTTATATTGTAACACGAATTGATATATATATATATACGATTTACGCATAAAAATAGAGATATTAAAGAGAAGTAAGGATTTATCTGTTGAATGTAATATACGACGTAACGATGACAAAATTACGTTAATGCATAAGAAAGAAACTATATATCTGAACACGTTGTGTGCTCGTTAAACGAATTCGTCTATCAACAATATCTATCATGGTTTTTCTCTCCATCGTCTCGAATAACACGAGCATAGAAGTTGTACAAATGGTATAAAAAGAAAGAAAGGAAAAGAAAGATATATATATATAAAGAGATAGAGAGAGAGAGAGAGAGAGAGAGAAAGAGATGGTACTATCACAAGACACGACATGATTCCATACGTTCATTATATTCGTTAGTATGTTTAGCCCTCAACGCTACTACCTATGCTTTTGTCTGGTGTTACGTGTATCTAGCCTGAAAACAACTCTCTCTTTCTCTTTCTCTTTCTCTCCTACGTTGTTACTTTATACGACCGTAAATGGAAGATAACGAATGGCCGGTTTCGTAGCTACCTATGTATTGTCCCTTAACTATCTTTCTTTCTCTTTCTCTCTCTTTCCTTCCTCACCATTTCTCTTTCTCTCTTTCTCACTTGCTCATTCTATCTACGAACAAAACACAGACAACATATCGGACTGATATTCTCAAATTTTCTAGTCGAGTGTGTACGATCTTTGCTCTCATTTTAGTTTTACGCTTGTATATTATACATATATATATACATATATATATATAAAGGTTGTTCCACGTAACACTTTTCACAATTTTTGCATTTTTGCACTTTCGGTAGCCAAATAAACAAACGTTTGTAATTAAATTAAATAATTTTTTAGTCGAATATTAAATGCAATAGAATGAATTTGAGAAAAGAAAGGGTCCTATTATTGCTTGGCCATCACCTCGATTTTTTTTTATGGGGTCACTCTTACAGTCGATAATTAAATGTTTTTTTTTTTTTTTTTTTATTTAATTAATTAATTCGAATTCTTTAGTGCGCCTGCGTGATTATCTTTGTATATAATATATAAATTATTATCTATCGTTAGCTAAGTTTTCAGCTTTCATCAATAAGCGGTAATCAGGATTAAGGGATGAAATGTTGGGACCTAATGAAATTGCTAGCAAATCCTTCTAGTTACCAAAGGGATGTATCGAGAACCTTCAGTTGACGGTACTTCGTGCGAGAAGAGATCATTAGAGATTAAACTGGCTTCTGGGAAGCTTTGTGTTGACTATATGTTTTATGTTGTAAAGATCACGATGAGGACTCGTATATAATTTTTTAAAAGAACGATCATATATATATATATATATATATTATTTTATTTATTAGCGTTTTATCGATTTTACGGGAACAATGTTAAATAATTTTAATGCGCGTTAATATAAAGCCGTATGAATAATGTATCAAAAAAAAAACGAAAAATCTTCAGCTGATAAATTGTTCTTAGAAATTTAAATAATCGATGTTCAATTGTAAATATGTGTGTGTGATGAATTTTTAAGAGATAAATTATTCAATGGCAAAAGAAGCAAACGTGAACAAACGTTTAACATTATACGATATATCGTATCAGTTCATTAATATAATAAATACGACAAGAAGAAAAAATAAAAAGAAATTGAAGAATACAAAAATGTAGTTATAAAACATAATGTACGAACGAAGTAGAGGAAGTCGAAATATTGGCAAAGTTTGTCTCGGTCCGTTGCCTTCCCTGGCAAAAGTAAGGACAAGAGAAGAGTAACTCAGAACCCATGACACTGTGTCGACTTCTCATCCTTTGCACCTACTTCTACCACAACGAATTTACCATCCCTATCCACGCGCTAAGTGCTGCAATTTATTTTATTACTTCATGTCTTTGTTCGAAACTCTGTCCGTTCTCTTTACCATCCTTGACGAAAACAGTGGTTTCGAAGGTAATTTACACCCAACCTATCCAACTGACGTGTGGGATGAATTTGCGTTCGTGTTGTTAGACACCATCGTCTAGATTTATTTATGAGATTTTTTTTTGGTCACCAAATATTATAATTCGGTAATAATCGGTATAAACGGTAATAAAAAAGTAAATTCGGATATATCGAAAGTACATAGTTTCCGTAAGATGTATTTGTGATATAAATATAATATAGATAATGTTAATATAATATAATAATGTTATATTGTAAACAAATATAAATAAACGATAGATGTTTAATAATTTGGTACTTTCAGATCGAGTCTTATCGAACATTATACGAAAGTGAGTCAATAATAATCCGAAAGGTTTCATTGCAATATTTCTTTTTACAATTGTCTTTATTATCAAATGTTCGTACATTAGTATTCGTGATGTTCCTTTTATCACAGTTGCACAGGTTTCAACACAGCTAGTTGATTGCATTTTATTTATCGTGACGTTAACAATAGTCATTATATTTTCGCACTCTGTTCTCCCAATACTGTTTCAAAAGTTTTTGATGCATTTTGCTTCTTGATAAACCTAGGAAACTCAAGAAACGGATGGTACGAATGTAAAACAAAGCGGCCATTGTTAACGTCGCTATAAACAAAATTTAACCAAACCAACGGGTTTAAAGTTAGTACGCACAATCGTAATAAGATCACAAATATTAATACTTGAGCTTATATATTTGACGATACGGAAAGAACAAAAATATATATTAAATTGCGATTAATTATAAACCCTCCCTAACTCTCCTCCCTACCCCATCCCAAGAACCATTCAAAAATTGATAGGAGATTTTCTCATTTCTTTTCGAATCCAGCATGTGGCTGAACATTGAAAGAGGTAGGGTTAACTTTTCTCGTAGACTGGTAAATGGAGGAATGGAGGACACAAGTTTGGCTTCACGGAATTTTAGTAACGTTTTGTCTTTGAAGAAGGATCCGTGCCCAGTGTTGGAAGAAGAAGAAGAACACAAACGGGCGAGAACACGAAACAATTACGAGCTCAGACGGTGCAGAAAGCGGTTCGGATCGCCAATGGAGCATGAGGGGGTAGTTGGGGGAGGAGGACAGGGTGTAGAAGTTATATATGTGTGCGTGTTAGAGAAGTGGGGAGGGTTGGAAAGTGGAATCGAGAGATGCTAGTGGTCGAATGAGTGAGAAAGAGAGAGAGTGATAGGAATGGGGAAGGAGAAGTTGTGAAACACAGTCAGTATGGTGAATCCTATAGCATGGTAGGGGGTGGATGAGTAGATGGAAAAGGGTGGTGGGAGTGTATGTGTAGGTGAACGCAGGCAGGCTGGCGTTTGCGCCGCCGGAGGGTGACTGTGTTACCAAAGAGGGGAGAAGAGAAGAGAGGGAAAGGCGTGGAATTGGAGGAGGCAGTAGTCAGTGGCTCGCCGCGCGCCACTACGATCACTGTCCGACTTTGCGTTGAGATTTTTCACTTGCTTGCCGGTAGACGAGCATTCAAGAGTAAAGAAGACGGTAACGCTTCATAGAATTTCTTTTAACAAGGCTAGAAGAATATCATCATCATCATCATCATCATCATCATCATCATCATCTTCCTCTTCTTCTTCTTCTTCTTCTTCTTCTCCTAAGTTTAAGTTTACTGCTACCCTTTTTTTTCTAACCCCTCACTGTTTATCATTCGTTCATCTGCAAGATGATAGACATGTTACGTGCTGTCGAGTGTTGTTGGATTCAAATTTACGATGGTTAAATGTGTCTCTGTGGATGATAACGTTGGGATATATAAAGTTTCATAGCGTTGCTTGGTGTATTTGGATATACAATTTTTTGTGTTTTCTTCTCTTTTTTCTTTTTTATCGTCACAACTCTTTTCTACGTGAATCATTTATCTTTTGTTATTCTTTTACTTTTCGGAGTTTTTTATATATATATATTTGTATTCTCTCTTTTCTTTCTCTAACCACATGTGATTTTAACCGTTCTTTTGATCTATATATGTATATATATATATCTGACATGTTTTTTAAAAGGGATTCAAAAGGAAGAGAGAAAGAAGGAAAGAGAGAGGAACTAACGGAGTGCTTTGTTTAAAGCTCGTCTTTTATTTTTCCTCCCTTAACTCCTCGTGCTGTTGTATGATTTAACGTGTACTACATTATTCGCCAACGATACGGATACATATATATACATATCGTTGTCACGAGATTCGATGACGTAAAAACGTATGTCTGAGGAAATAGTAGTGTAAGTTGTGGTGGTTCCCGTGGTATAGTGCCAAACGAGTTTCGAACAACTGTATTCCATCCATCTGTAGTAAAAGCGTCGTTTAAAATATAGAAAAAAGAAAAGAAAGAAGAATATTGTGATAGATACATGTATATGTGACAAGGATTAACGAAAAATACGGGTGTTATTTATTTTATCATCGAGTACGAATCCTGTGACTTAACAAATACACACTTTTGTATACGTATAATATTATATACAAAATATAAAATACGTAAATACGTGTATGTGTTAGCGTATACGTACTGATTTTTAGTTACGTTAAGTTTGGAGCTCAGTTGAAAGTTCTACTTACCGTTTGAGTTCTATTAACAATTTGGATTTATACAGGGATCAGGAAACTGTGCAGTGTGTTATTTTGCATATTGGATTCGGCTCGCGTTCGACGGGCTCTGGCATCGTATATTTTGTTCGGGTTCGCTCGTTAAACGGGAAACGAGCGTGCAGGATTCGCACACGAATGCTAATCCCCGGTGGAGAATAATCGAAGAGCTGTGAATTTCGTAGGACGTTTTAAGCCAAGTGTGTGAGAGAGAGAACGGAAAATAGAAACGAAGAGATAGAAAGTGAGAGAGAGAGAGAGAGAGAGAGAGAGAGAGAAAGACAG